TTAGTCCCCCGCCCCCCCCCCCCACCTTGATCTACCTACTGGCATTTGAATACAATAACTTAATATGTGATATTATGAATTATTTTTCCAAACCCAAATTTTTCAAAGTTTCAAAAGTTTTTTTTTTTTTTTAAGAAGATCTAGGTCTCTCTAGGTGTAATTGTGGCCACCTTTGCTTATATTTTCCTAGAAAAAAAAAAATCTATTTTCCAAACTCATTAACATTCACTGCCCGACCCGGTTTTTTTTTTCTCTGAGGTAGTTGAGAATGAAGGGTGGGACTCCCATCACAGTGATGCGGGTGGAGAGCATAAACATCAGAGACACAGCAAAAAAAACTCATTATCCAAAACCAGGCCTCTCTCCAAAAGGAAGTGAACCGAGTGCTTGTCCCGAACAAACATTACTATTGCTTTTTTTTTTTTTTCATCCAAGAACCATATGCTATATTCTCATGTCTGATTTGTTCTCCTACTGCCAGAAGGGACTCCATGATTGGCAATAACCCCGACCAATTAGATTGACTGAACTGCAAACTGCAAAAAGAAATGCAATAAACCAATGTAATAACTCTTACCTGTTCACTGATAAAATATGGGGGGGGGAAACCCCAAAAAGATTCTCAAACAAACTTTTCCACCACTCACCATGTGCCTCACACACTCACACTCCAAACTCAACAAGCAGTGAGAGAGAGAGATAGAGTGAGAGCTAGAGATAGAGGGAGAGGAAGGCATTGAAGAAGNNNGAAAGAGAGAGGTTAGAGAGAGGGAGAGAGACAGCTTGGAATGAGTCAGAGTCAGTTCAGATTGTGTGACCAGTCTCACCTCTTTCTGTGAAGGAACAGGAACGTGTGCAATGAAGGAGACTCCGCCTTCTGTCTGAAGCCCTTCTTCTGTGTCTTCATCATTCGTCTGTAAACAAACAAAAAGTGTGTGAAGTGTGTGTGTAACTGCGCAATTGTGTGTGTATAACTGCTTGTGTGTGCGTGTGTGTGTTCACCTCCTCCTGGTGTACAATGTAGATGTTCTCCTCCTCCTCCTCTTGCTGCTGCTCCTCCTGAGGTTTCAGCCCAGACTCCTTCTGTTTCCTCCAACTGATCACAGCCTCCACCACAGCTACAGACATACATCAAACACAAATGTTACATCATATACAGTGAAGAAGGTTCCTGGACCGGAACCACCCGGATGAGGAGGAGAAGGCAAATAACCACACCTTGTTTTTCATACTGCGTTTCCAAAGGAACCAGAACTCCATCGTCTTCGTCTCTGTACCCATAATACTCCGCGTCCACTTCTTTCATCAGCTCTGCTCTGCTTTTCCTGGCGGCTGGGGCAGCCGCCCCTCCTGGCAGGTCCCTGGCTGCTCCAAAATATTTATATCCTCGGTTTCCTGGAACTTCCTTCCCCTCATGGTCCAACATCCTGGGTCCAATACGCTGAATAGATAGATTGTTGAAGTAAGATTTTATTTTCTGGTGACACAGGACTGTGATGAGGTCTGACTTACGTGGTAATCTGGTCCTCCCAGCTCTCTGATCCGATACTCCCAGTGACCTTTCTCTCTGAGGAGTTTATTGATCTCATCGTTCAAATCCCGAATCCTGAACTCACCAAGACCGGCTGAGAGACAAATGGGGGAGACATGGGTGAGTGTTAAGAAGAGACAGAAAGACAGAAAGACAAAACCACAACACAGCCAGAAGGAACAGGTGGGTGACGGACAGGAGACAGAAATGTGCCTCACGTAGCTGTGGGTCAGAGACGGACGAATACAAATACAGGGTTCAATGGCGATAACATGCAAAGTGAACTGACCATTCTGAATCTGAGCCACTTTCTTTGAAATTTCACTGATGATCTGTCGTCTCCATTTCTCTGCTTTCGGAAGTTCACTGCATTCTGACGCCAGGAAAGGTCTTCTCTCCTAAAGAAAGAAGCGACAGAGTTAGAGGTCAGAGATGAAAAATTACAGGTCAGAGATGGAGAGTTACAGGTCAGAGCCAAAGAGTTACAGGTGAGAGACAGAGAATTACAGGTGAGGGACGGAGAGTTACAGGTCAGAGATGGACGGTTAAAGGTCAGAGACAGAGTATTACAGGTCAGAGACGGAGGGTTACGGGTCAGAGACAGATGATTACAGGTCAGAGACAGATGATTACAGGTCAGAGACACATGATTACAGGTCAGAGACAGATGATTACAGGTCAGAGACAGATGATTACAGGTCAGAGACAGATGATTACAGGTCAGAGACAGAGAGATACAGGTCAGAGACGGAGGGTTACAGGTCAGACACAGAATTACAGGTCAGAGATGGAGAATTACAGGTCAGAGACGGAGAGTTACAGGTCGGAGACGGAGGGTTACAGGTCGGTGAAAAGGGATTACAGGTCAGAGACAAAGAGTTACAGGTCAGACACAGAATTACAGGTCAGAGATGGAGGGTTACAGGTAAGACACGGAGAATTATGGGTCAGAGACAGAGAGATACAGGTCAGAGACGGAGGGTTACAGGTCAGAGACGGAGGGTTACGGGTCAGAGACGGAAGGTTATGGGTCAGAGACGGAGGGTTACGGGTCAGAGACGGAGGGGTACGGGTCAGAGACGGAGGGTTACGGGTCAGAGACAGAGAGTTACAGGTCAGAGACAGAATTACAGGTCAGAGACGGAGGGTTACGGGTCAGAGACAGATGATTACAGGTCAGAGACAGTTGATTACAGGTCAGAGACAGAGAGTTACAGGTCCGAGACAGAGAGTTACAGGCCAGAGACAGAGAGTTACAGGTCAGAGACAGAATTACAGGTCAGCGATGGAGGGTTACAGGTCAGACAGAGAATTACAGGTAAGACACGGAGAATTACGGGTCAGAGACAGAGAATTACAGGTCAGAGACGGAGAGTTACGGGTCAGAGACGGAGGGGTACGGGTCAGAGATGGAGAACTGAGACACGGAGAATTATGGGTCAGAGACAGAGGGTTACGGGTCAGAGACGGAGAGTTACAGGTCAGAGACGGAGGGTTACGGGTCAGAGACAGAGGGTTACGGGTCAGAGACGGAGAGTTACAGGTCAGAGACGGAGGGTTACGGGTCAGAGATGGAGAATTACAGGTGAGAGACGGAGAGTTACAGGTCAGAGACAGATGATTACAGGTCAGAGACTGAGAGTTACAGGTAGGGTTTTACCTTGACTTTTCCCTCTTCTAGTTGAGCTTGTCTGAATCGAGCCAAAGCCGTCCTAAAAACAACATTAACGTTAGCTAGTATATATAGTTAAAACTTATTAACCCGTAATAACCCATTAAATAACCCGTTAACCCATCGGGAGTGCCCTTGTGAAAATAAAGGATATATTACGGTGTCGGTGTGAACTTACATGGCCTTTTCTGCGTTTCTTGCCTGAAACAAAGGACAACATTTGCATTAGTAATTATTAAAAACATGTGACTTTGTTTTCTAAAATTTCTGAAACGAACTGAGCAACAAAATACAAGAAGAGCAACAGCTGGTGGTAATCATTTAAAGATGAAATGCTCAAAATGAGCTTAAAAGCTTAGAGTTTAAAAGCAATTAAATAACATAGAAAACAAAGAAAAACGCTCCCAACATTAAGGGACATCATAAAACCAGCGCTTCAATGACATATAAACACCCAGTGGTGTGTGTGATGCTAACAGGCTATACACACGAATACTGTACATATGAACTAGATACCAGAGAAGTTAACACGCTAATAAACCATGTTACTACACTAGCAGTTAAGGTAAAAACGGAGAGATTAATCCATGTGCTAACGCGTTAGCTAACTAAGTTGGTTTAAGAAAGAACAACAGGAAAACTGATCAAAACAACGCGTCGACGCGTAGTTATATTAAAACTGATCAGAACAACGCGTCGACGCGTAGTTATATTAAATTTAGTTAATTTCTCACCATCCCTGCGGTTTTATTTTTTTCTATAAAAAATAAAACAAAAATCAAGCAAACGCGCCGACTACAACAGGAAGCTTCTCGTGTCTTCTTCTATTGCTGCTTCCGGTCTACTGGAAAGCAAATGACTGCTTCCCCGTGCAGGACGAATGCGGTAGTGCACCTCCGGTAAAATATATAATGAACGAATGAATGAAAAAAAATAAGGCTTGTTACCTAATGTGTGTGACATATCTTAGTGGTGGCTTGGTAATTAGGGAAGCGGACTAGAAGGTTTCAGGTTCGAGTCCACCAGCTGCCAAGTTAACACTGAGCATGGCCCTGTTCCCACACACTGCTCCCCCTGCTCACTTTTGTGATGGGTTAAAAGCAAAGGTCGCATTTCGTTGTGTGTGTGCGCAGTGGTGTGCTGTGTCACAATGTCAAGTAGTTCATTTTCCTTTATCCTGCAGGAGGAAAAATTCACACTGTAGTCAATTGACAGCACAGAGATCAAGACGTTTCCTAGTGTTACTACTGTTGCCACCGTATAACTGTTAATAACTGTAAATTGTCCAATTTTTACTGAGTGATGTTCTAGTATTAGTGCATATATAAATATAAGGGAAAAGGCTGTGAAGACCGACTCACTGACTACCAGAAACATTCGTATTTCAAGCGATTCAAATTAGTAATAGGAAATGAAGCAGAGCTGGACATCAACATTCAGACGTTTGGGACCAAATAAGAGCCAAAACCTTAGATTTGATTCAAAATAACAATAACTTTATTCGTCATCTGTCACCAGCTGGACTTTTTAAGATGGTTTTTATTCACATACAGTGTCACGGCTTCTGTCGTTAGTGTTGTTTCTAGATGAAATAAAGAGACCAGGCCAGTGTCTCAGCTCCTCCTCCTCCTCCAGGACCTTTTATTATCAGGTTAAACGTACAGTTGACAGTCTACGTGATTTATTGTACAAAAATAACTTTTGGATTTTTTTTTTTGTGTGAAAACATTTGTTACTCAAACTGAAACTTAAATGTTTTTTTGTTAAAAAGCCTTTAATCCCATTCATTACTGTTAGTTTTGTATGTGTCAGGTGGTGCTCCCCTGTGGTCTGCAAAATAAATTACACTGCTGCTGTTCTGATTGGCTTGTTTGTTCTGACGTGATTGGCTGTTTGCATCCAATCCAGACCAAGATGGATGAAGTTAAGAACATAATAAAGTTAATGCTGGAAGGTAAATCTTCCGTTTATTTTTTCCATTAATGAAGACCCTCCCACTAAGGACAGAGGGGAGGGGCCAAACTTTTCCTGCCACTCCCTGAACGTTTGCAGATGATGACTAAACACACAGATTCTCTTTATTCTTGTAAAGTCGCAGATATCTGCCCTGCCCCCTGCCCCATCTTCCTCCAATTGCCTGCTGTAAAAGGTGACCAAGAGGCTGCTGGACCAACCACAGGAGGAAAGGGATCAGAGGGGGCGTGGCAGCTAGGTGCTGGCTTCAATCGTACACTCCTTGGCCAGGTGACCCGACTTCCCACAGTTGTAGCAGTTTAACGTCTTGCTGCACTGCACCGCAACATGGCCGATCTCCCTGCACCTGCGGGAGAGACGAGTTAGCGGTAGTACGAATGGCCTCCAATGGTCTACCGAATAACAACTGAAATAACATTTTATAACATTTTTACATTAGAGATTACATACAAATAACATTTTTACATTAGAGATTACATAAGAATCAGACAAAAAAAAAAAGATTCATACAATTCTTCGAATAAACACCACTAACCTTTCACTCTCTTCACTGACCTTTAGCTGGTGGACAGTGGCCAGTTAGCCATTCTCTAATGTTGAATTTACTTATAGCATTAGCTGTTAGCATTCCTTTTTTTTTGTTCAGCTCACCTGTAGCACTTGACCTTCTCACAGCATTTCTGGATGTGACCAAAGCCACCACAGGTGTAGCACTTTTGCTCGTGGGCGTGGTTACAGTCACGTGCCATGTGACCGGCCTGTCCACAGTTGTAGCACACATGGTCGCGCTCCTTCTTTGGCTCCTGACAGTCTCTGGAGATGTGACCTCCTTTGCCACAGTTGTAACAGGCTGTAGGACAGGGGCAGTTTAGAGGTGGGCTCTTGCCAGCAAGTGTGTGTACGGTGTGTGCACGTGCGTGTGTGTGTGTGTGTGTTCTCACCGTCCTCTGTCTTCGCACAGTCTCTGGCCAGGTGTCCATTTACTCCACAACGAAAACAGATGAGATCTGACCACAAACAGGGATTAGAATTTAAAAAAAAAAAAAAAAGACTGAACAGATTCAGACTGATCTGGATCTGAACTTTGTTATCAAGTGCCATCAGTGGTCAAAGAAAAAGTCCTATTCTTAACACGATTCTAAAAAGTCTAAGTTTCTATGATTTAGGACCCAGGTCTGAGTCCCAGTCCCAAAAGTTTCAGTCCTGGAAAACCCGGTTTGGGAGTCCAAGAAAAAAAAAAAGTGTAGTCACATGACCAGTCCCATTCTACAACTGCTAAAACTGTCAAACCACTAAACTCTACTACTAGTGAAGTCTAATACTACATTACAGCAGAACACGTTATATTCTTTAATATGTAATATCTTCTGTAATAAGATAAGACTTATTCATCCCACACTTGTTTCAGCAGCACCATAGACATGTAGTAGTAAGTAAAATTAAAGTAACAGCAGGGTAGACATAGTATTTACAAGGTGATACCAACATTTACTCATCTCTACTCAGACGCAGTACTACTGCTGAAACTAGTCTTGTAAGACGTACTTCCTATTTATAACATTTGTTCTTTTTTTCCCCACATACTAAGTAATTTTTTGAACGTTCTGCTAGTGGTCCTTATATTTTACGTATCTATATTTAAATTTCATTAAATAATGAACAATTTCATTATTTCTACTACTGGTAGCTAATACTGCCATTTCTTCTTGTTACTGTACATAAAAGTACTCATGATCAGGACTGGAACTGTCATATTTAGGAGTGTGTGTGTGTGCGTGTGTTGTCACCTTTGCCTCTGCCACGGCCTTTGCCCCGTCCCCGGCCAGCAGCGTGCGGACAATCCTTCTGCCAGTGGCCACTGCGGCCGCAGCCGAAACACTCGTTACTACTCATCACTACCACAACAACAACAGGGTGTAACCAGAGGCAGGGGGGTTCCTCGCTGCACAGAGAAAACACACATGGACACTGGTGTTAGCATGACATAGCCATGGAAGTAAATGCAATACTGAGAACGTTCGGTAAGAGGCAAAGTAGACGAGCAGTTGAGGGTTGAAGACTGATAATTAACCTCACATGTTGGATTGGTCACTTGGCCTATAGCTGTTATCCACGTGTCCACAACGTGGGTCGCATTTAGTCAAAGTTACACCATAGCAGTTTTATGTTGTTCACTTACTTCATCTGTGACACCACATAACCAGCAGGGGGGCGACATTCATTATGTGAGAGAAAGTCCGCATTTTTTTTAAACACGTCAAAGAACAACAGTGTTTTTAGAGGCTCACCAAGGAACCATAACCTGAACCGAAAATTTGCTTAAGTTCTAATACACTGTCTTACGTATTCACTGGGACTGAACCTCGGAGACTCACTGTGTTTCCCCAGGTGGCACACACGGGAGTCAACCGTGGCCATGTGTGTCCACATTAGACTATATAATATCGCTGTAAAATGTTAATTTCTTCACATTTACATAAATTACTCTGAAACGGTCCAATAAAAAGAAGAAACAACGGTCAAAACGATTACTTCAGGTTATTAGGTTTATTTAAGATAGATTTAACCGGTTTTTTTTACGACTTTGTCTCATGACAACTGCAGACTGTAGCCCAGAGAATTGAGTTAATCGACCACTTTAATCGATAACGGGGCCCGCTCTGTGGACTCATAACTGTACTAATCTGGACCTTTCAGTGTTTCCCAGGAGTTCTCACGTCGTCACACCGAGTACAGGGCTGCATAAGCGGGCAGCGGACAGAATTGTGTCCCACAGGCCCAGCTACGGACAGAGGCCGCGCTGACTGCCATGCTGCCACAGCTAATAATGCTAACTGCTAACAGTCGAGCAGCTGCTCCACAGCGAAGTCAAAAAAAACACTGCGCAGCTCCATCCGCCTCCACGAACCTCTAGTAGTGGATCAAGAGGCTCAGCGGGTCGGACACAGCGACGTTGCTGTGACAAAAAGGAGATTTTTCGTTAAAGTGTTGTAGCGAAAGAGGCATAGCGCTTACCTGGAGCTGAGTTTGTTTTCTGACCAGGTCCGTGAACGCAACACACGCACACTCACACGTGAGGAGTTCAGGGTCACGTGACAGAGAGCGAATTTCCAAATATCCTGTTATAAATACAAATTACTAACGAAGATTGATGTAATTTAAGATATCTCGTGACAAAGATTATACGCTAACATATTACTTTACTACGAACTTAGTGATTTCTTACTCTTTTTTTGTAAGTATGCTTATCCGAAAGGCCGCGGAGGCGCACCAATCCCTTCCAGTTGAACAGGTTTTAATATTTTACGCGTTATGAGGGAGGAGTAAGTGAACGCATCATCCACACGTCACTCAACAGAGGGGTGGGTTCTAGACGGGGAACGAAGGAAGGGGCAGAGAGAGACAGGGAGGGAGACAGAGACAGAGAGAGAGAGAGAGAGAGAAGAAGAAGGGGGTGGGGTCGCACGCACAGCATTATCTTTGTTTTACAAACACGTCCGCAGGAAAAATAATTATTTAAACACTTCCCATTCATTCGTTTGATTGTACACGTACAACAGGTTTTTATTGAAAATGGCGATTTAATGTGTCAACCATTCCATGTCAATCATCACCATCCAGACAGCAATAAACAAAGGCTGGTCTTTTATATCTGGAAGTTTGGAAAATAAGTTATTGAGTCGCGTGAGATAGTTCTGGGTGGGGCTTCGGGTTTATACTTCACTGATTGGGTCAAAGCTCAAAGACACAAACCAGGAAACACCTGGTCGTCTGTACCTGAGATTCTAGTCTGCACCTGAGTTACCTGTGAATATTCCGTCCATGCTTGATGTTCTGGACCTCATCTCCGCATCTGTACCAGGTCTTCTCATCTCAGTGTCTGGTATTAGAACCTGCTGACGACAGCCCAGGGAGGCAGAGACAGGACGAGGACAAGAGACCGGGTGGCTCATGGCCATGGTTGGCAGCTGTCATACTTCTTCGAGAGGTGGCGCTCTGCTTAGACTCTTGGTGGGACAATCAAAAAGTGGACGTCCCAGGTTTCAGCAGAGCCCAACGCACTCCTCCCGTTCCCCTCAGCCGCCCACACTTGGTTATCCAACAGGCAGTGGAAACAGAAAAAATCTGGCAGGGCAGATCAGTTTGGCTCAGATTAACCAGGTCCTGAAGGTGAGTGACATCACGTGACATGTCAATCATCCACTCTTAAAACATGTCTGATCCATTTGTTTGCTTCTAGGCCAATGAATACTTCCACACTTTCCCCAGAGGCCCCGCCTCCCATGGGGTTCTGGGATTCCATAGCAATATGTTGCCATCCAACTACCCAGGCGAGGACCGTCGCAGCAGCGCTACCTGCCTGCCAGGTGGCGCCGTGCTGCTGGGGGTTTTTGATGGCCATGGGGGGGCAGCATGCGTAAACACTGTTAGCCAAAGACTTTTCTATTACATCACTGTTGCAACGTTACCGCCAAAGACCCTGGGGGAAATGGAGCGAGCCTTGGAGGAAGAACGAGCCGTACCACCCCTGCTGGAGTGGCACAAACACCCGCAGGACCGTGGTTATCTGGATGGGGGGGCCACGTCATTCCACAGCCTTCGTAACTACTGGCAGGAGAGGTTGGCTGAAGATCTGGAAGTGGACCTGGCCCATGATTCGGTAAGAAGTTGTCTTAACATATTTAAATTGAATCCGGTCTTTAGATCAGTCATATTGACTGATCTTGCTCTGGTTGGCTACAGAACGAGGACAGCATTTCATCTGCGATGGTAAACGCTTTCCGCCGCCTGGACTACGATCTGTCTGTTGAGGCACAGGTCCATTTGTCCACATCATGGCCCAGGTGGGTACAAAACACGAGTTCCACAGCACGTTAGCAGTCAGTCTTCTTGTTGTTGTTGTTGTTCCCTGCAGGTTTACAGATCTGTGTACTATTCCGACTCCTCCCACTCTGTCCACAGATGGGCATCTCTCCATGCAGAGGTTTTATCTCCACCCTCCCCTCTGCAGGTGGCGCTGTCTGGATGTACTGCGTGTATTGCCCACATCTCTAATGGCGTCCTACATGTAGTAAACCTGGGTGACAGCCGTGCAGTCCTGGGTGTACAAGGGGCCGACAGGCGCTGGTCAGTGGCCAGCCTTTCCAATGACCACAACGCACAGAACCCAGAGGAGTTGCAAAGAATTCTGGGACAACACCCAGCATCAGAAAAGATGACAGTGGTCCGCCACGAGCGGCTGTTGGGTTTGCTGCTGCCGTTTAGAGCGTTTGGCAATATTCGCTTCAAGTGGAGCAAAGAGATGTTGAGTCAAGTCCACGAGATGCGACCAGATGTGCTGTCTGCAGTCAGCGAGAAGATCCGGACCCCACCAGATTACCTCAGTCCACCTTATCTGAGTGCCGAGCCAGAGGTCACCAAACACCGCATCACCCCTGCTGATAAGTTTCTGATCCTGGCCACTGATGGTCTCTGGGAATTGATGCACAGACAGACTGCAGTCCAGCTGGTAGGACAACTGCTGACAGGTCAGAGTTCACAGATTGTGAATCAAAAATAATCTTGTGATTAGAGATCAAATATGTGACACATGCAGGAGTCAAGTACCTGAACCTGGTTCTACATCAACTGACCACCTTTGGACCAAACTGTCCAAGTACCTGAACCTGGTTCTACAACAACTGACCACCTTTGGACCAAACTGTCTCCACAGGTCTCCTGCAGCAGAGACCTATAAGCCCCAGTGCAGGCATGACACTGAGCAGCTTGCAGCGCCTCCTTCAGGAGAGGAGGGGACGTGTGATGTCTGTGCTGGAGGATCAGAACGCTGCCACTCACCTACTCCGCCATGCACTGGGGGATGATGGGTATGGAGGTGTGGATCCAAACCGTTTAGGAAAGCTGCTCAGTCTACCTGCAGATTCGGCCCGAAGGTACCGCGATGACATCACCATCACTGTGGTACTGCTGAATGAACCTGACCTGTGATCACGAGTTCACCTTACCTCATCTGTGTTTTATTGTTGATTTAAATACAATCTCCGAGGTTTCAACAGTTCCACCAGAGTGATGGCTCGTTAGTACTTAGACGTTAGACTAATAATAACATGCAGCCGTTTGTCTATCTCTGATGGTGCGTTTGTGGCCAAAGTATTCGAGTACATTTTCAGAGAGGCTGCAGGTGTGTACCTCGACACAGGAAACACAATGGTGCTGCAGAGTACTGATGAGGTCATGGACAGAACAATTGAAACTGTGTGAAGCTGGGAAGTGGTGGCTCGGTGGTTAAGGAAGTCGACAAGGTTTCAGGTTCAAATCCACAGAGCATGGCAAAACCCTACACACCCCCTGCTCACTTTGGTGACGGGTTCACATTTCGTTGTCACAATAACAAAGTGTCTAATCATTATCAGCAATCCCGAGAACCGTGGGGGGCAAAACAGAAGTGTGAATTAGAAGTGGAACACCGCCCTCCTGTGGATGTATTACTTTACAACCAACAAACCAGGATACGTTGGCAGTGACATGTCACCGTTTAATCTAGTTAATGTCGTTTAAAACTTTTTAGGTTACGTCTAGATTTAGATTAAACCACACGTCCAACTCACGAATTCCTGTGTCCAGTTATGCGTTTTCTGTAAACTACGGGATATAAACCCGGTTCAGACTGGTTTCCGCAGCTCACATTTATCTTTCCAAACAAGCAAGGACTCACTCTCATCTGTTGATGTTTATAAAATGTTACCACACTCAAGGGTCCTACTTGTTTGAAATGGTTTAACTCAAAGCTAATCAAATCAGTTTTTATTGAATTAATTAACCCTACAATGATCTCAAAATAAAATTTATTCAAGGTTTTTTTTTTTTTACAAAAAACAACTTATTTGCATTAGAAAGACTTAAATATCAGCTTGATCAGCCCACCTCCCCTCAGCTCATGGAGTTCAATCATTGGTCGCCTCAACAGGGAGGAGCAGAAAAAAAAAAAACTTTACAAGAACAAAAAATGTCTGCAACAGGAAACTTAAGAAGAGAAGGGTGATCTCTATTGTCCAGTGTCCAATGGAAGGCAGGAAGGTGGTGGTGGTTCACCGACGAGGGGGCGGGGCAAGCAGTTGAGTGGCAGTAACCGACTCTGGGAAAAGGTTGTGGTAGGTTGGCAGAGGAACGAATGCTGCTGTGATCATTTTCCCTAAAAACCACAGGTTACACTCTCATAAGAAATGCTCTTTCAGTAGCCAAAAGCAAACACCGCCGGTCTCAGCTGACAAGAAATCTTACCCGCAAAGTAACGTCCGTGGAGGGTGTTGACGGCAGCCATGGCGACAGGGATGGAAGGACACTTAACATAGACGTTTCCCTGATAAGACACAGAGGTTAGAGGGGTTGGACAAGTACGGTCACAATCACACAGGTGTCAAGAGTACCTCGGAGTTCTTGTCCACGTAGATGTGGACGACTCCTCCATGTTTGTTGCACTCCTCGATGACATCATGTTGAATGTCCACTTCCCAACCGGGGGGGAGGTCACTGAGAGAGATGGGTGAGGAAGGGTTAGAGAGACAAGACCAGAGCTTCGGTGGAGGTGCGGACAGACAGCTGTACCTGTTGGGGCTGAACATGTTGCTCAGTTGAAAACAGTGAGTCGCCAGTGGCTGAGATGGAAGGTTCATGGCTGTGTTCATGTTCAGAGCTGGATTCATGGCAGCTGTAACACACGCACCCAAACACACACAGTATGAATATCAGTGTCTCGTCACAGATATTCATATTTACATTAAAGTCAGAGAATGTGTCCGAAATCACTCACTCATTCCCTACTCCTTAATTCCCTATATAGGGAATTACATATAGAGCACTATGTAGTGGACTCATCGGTTAAGTTAAAAACGATTATGAACACTACTATAGGGAGGTAATTGTCTTTACTGTCACACAATTGAAAACTGAAGGAAAGGAAAGTGAACTCATTGTCATGTGACACACATCGCTGCACACAACCAAATGTGACCTCTGCATTTAACCCATCACCAAAGTGAACAGTGGGCAGCTTTGAGCGCCCGGGAAGCAGTGGATTCAAACATGAAACCTTCTGGACCCAAGTCTGCTTCCTTAACCACTAAGCCACCACTGCCCCACGGTGCGTCTCTCTTGACTGCAATGCATGATGGGATATATTGCTTGGGTAGGGATCATTGGATGAATTGTGGGATAAATATGAATGCAACTTCTGCTCACTAAACTTGCATGTAAAGCACTACACAGAATTGTGCACAACGCAGGGCGGGGTTTTGGACACAGCCACAGCGTCAAAGTCCGACGTCACATGGACTGACATCACTACCTGTGTGACGCTGTGGCAGTGTTTGCGCTGTTGTCTGTCATCAGCCCATTCTGTCATTGCCGTTCATTCTTTGTTGTCTGTTCTCAGCCTGTCTATTGACTTTGTCTGTTGTCAGCCTGTCAGTTTTTGTTTTTTTTTTGTAAGTACCTGACACTGCAGCCATTGCTCCTATAGCGATAGCTCCGCTCATCTGCAGAGCCTGTTGAGCAGCAGGAGGAATCTGAAGACCTGTACCTGAAGAGATGGACAGACAATGGTAAGTTAGGGTGGCATTACCAGTGAGGGACAGAGAGGGTGTGGTTCACAGTTGGGGGGGGGCTCTCTCACCCTCAGCGAGGCGGGCCATCAGCTGCAGTCTCCCTGTGGTTCCCAGGTCGATGCCGGTGCGTTCCAGCTCATCGTTGTCAAGGAAAGACGAAGCAGAAGAAGCGTCGGTTCGCTCTGTAACATGACCCACCTTCATTGGTCGACCCGCCAGCTCGAAACCATTCAACTGCTCCAGAGCTTTTTTGGCGCACTCTGCATCTGCAAACTGAGGCAGATCCAAGCTGAAAGAGGTGTGGATCTAAACATCTACACAGTGTTCACAGAGTGGCACTGACACTGGTGTCGATTTGTCCAAGCACTTGGTTAACGTATTTTTTTTGTTTTTCCTTTTGTCTGTCTAATAGACAACATCTGTATCACAGTTACTGTACGTACACCTTTAAAAATCTAGAGTGAATAAACAACTGACTGTGATGAACCCGTAGCCTTTAGATCGTCCGGTCTCACTGTCCATCATCAGCTGGATGCTTTCAATCTGAAACACACACACACGTCAAACTGTTACCCATCTGTGTCTGTGCGTGTGTGTGTCTGTGTGATCAAACTGTTACCCATCTGTGGTTGTCTGTGTGAGATAGAGAGGAAGAAAGAGAGAAAGTGTATGTTTTTGACAACACTGACCCGTCCAAATGGTTCAAAGATCCCCCTCAACATCTCCTCTGTGATGTTGAAGTGCAGTGAGCCCACATACAACCTCATTGGACCCGTCAACCCCCTCTGCAGGTTGTTAGCTGCAGCTGCAGCCCTGTTTTTTTCAGCCTGGAAACACGAAGACCCAATCTCAGCAACAACAGACCGAAGACTGTTCTGTGTGTATGTGTGTGTGTGTGTGCGCATGCGTACCTGGGAGGCCTGAACAATGATAGGAACTCCCAGCAGCCTTTGCCCTGTCAGTCCAATGGCCAGAGGAACAGATGTGGCCTCAACAAACTCAATGTAAGCAATGCCCTTCGACCTACGAGAGTTCCTGTCAGAGATCATTCTGACATCCCGCACCTGTACACGAACAGTCAGCAGTTAGCATATCTATATCTATCTATCTATCTATCTATCTATCTTAGTCCTGTCAAGTGTCAGTCACGTACCTTGCCGACAGCAGAGAAGAAGTCTTCCAGGTCTCGGGGTCGTATCCTGGCAGCCAGCTGCATACAGAAGACTGTGCGAGCGTCTCGCTCTTCTGGAGTCAGGTTATCTGCAGGCTGCAGTCTGAATGACAATATTCCATCTTCATTATTATATAATCATCAAGACATTAGGTTCAGTCTCTTCTTTGACTCACCTGACTGGACTCTTCTCCTTTCTGATTGGACTTTTACTCCTGGACCTGCGACGACTGCAGAAAGAGCAGCGATAGACTAATGTCAATAATCAGAACCAGAAAACGCTGCAGTGCCAATCGTGATCACATGACAGCAGTGACGACCTTTGTCACACAAATGCGAAAGCACACTATTAATGAGTACAGAAGTAATTCAACAGAAGGTAGCAGAGTTACGGTTGTTAAACTGACTGCTTGTGCTGGTCTCTGTAGCGCCCTCCTCTCTCACGACTGTGACTGCGGCGGCGTTCTCGGCTGCGACTCCTCCTTCTATCACGGCTGCGACTCCGGCTCTTTCTCTTGTCACGGCTGCGTTTGCGCTCTCTGCTGCGGCTACGTTTGCGCTCTCGGCTACGGCTCTTCTTCCTGTCTCGACTCCTGCTGCGCTTCTTTCTGTCAGACACACAGCAGCCAATCACAGCCTATTACAAACACCGCGTAGTTCAGAACTAATTCACATAAACAACAGATGTCATGACAACAATGTTTCATCTACACAGATGAGAACGTAGTGTTTACGACACAAAACAGCCATAGACAGACGTCACCTCTTGAAATGATCCTCTGCCATGTTGGGACTTGGGCTCTTGTCGTCGTCCTGTCGGAGTCGACAGAGAACAGCATGAGGACGAAGATGCAACATGTCAGGGGTGGGAGGAGGGGGAGGCAGAAAAAGAGAGTACAAACATTTTTATGAATTACACTTAAAATAACTTCTGTGAGGGACTTGGATCAAGAGGTCAGTCTGAGTCAGTAGGTCTCAAGGTCACTGTGTCTGTGTGGGTGAGAGAGTGAGGTCAGAAGTCAGTCCCAGGCTGTAAAGGGGACCAGGGACGTGTGTCTTATTGTCTCTTGTTGAACTGTGTCTGCTTCCCGGCTCATGCTAAGCTAATGGCTAACTCTCCAGTGTGAAGGTTTTCTTGCCCATGATCCTCCTGTGATGACTCAAAAAGGGGATTGTGGGGGCCACAGTCATGTTACCATGGGAAAACCACAGTACAGCAATGCATGATGGGGGCTTTTTTTTTACTACCTTCATGTTTGTGACAGATCACACTGGATTCAGGGGAGTAGAGGTGAGAAATCGTTAGGCAAGTCTACAAAGAGAGATAGATGTGCATTTATTCATGACAGTCTTTGGCGGGACGCCATTAACATCAACATTATCAAAACCATCATCAGCTGGACTCTGCTGCTCACAAATAAACCTCTCACACACTGCCGTTTTAATCCAGTAAAAACCTGCTTAAGGGTTATTTTAGACTTTTAGGCGTTCAGTGTTTTTAAACAGAGAACTCTAGATACAAGTCAATTCACAACAACTAGCTTCGTGTAATAGTCAGTTACATGGGTTGCTGTTATTTCAACACACAGTAAAGGATTTTCTTCTAGAAGACTCATGACAGTGATTTTGTTTTTTTGTTTTTTATCATGACTGTCAGAAACATCCACAGTGAGGGGAGCAGCAGAGTCTTGAGTTCCAAACACCAACTACAAGGAGCAGCTCACCTTCCTGTACGGAGCCTCCAACATCGCTTCAATGTCCAAGTCGTCTGTCATCTTTGGATATCTGGTGCTGCGTCCGCCGCAGGTGCTCTGCAGAAGACTTCCTGCACACATCACCAAAACAACCTCGACTCAGACTCCACGAAGATTAGCATACATCTTTGTGTTTCAGACTTTTGCACAGACTACATAATATGACACAAAACGTCAATGTTGTTAGTACTTAAAAGCAACAACTTTAAAGAAACAAAACACGTTTTTCGAGTTCTACTCCGTTGTTGTAACTGCAAATATCTGTCTGTCTAAGGGACATCACGAACATTTCGCTTCTAAACAGCTGCACCGGTTTTCTGGTGTAAATGAAGCTTGGTCGTTAGCATTGTATCCACTCACAGCAATGTCCTCGCCCTAAAACTTAAAATTAATTAATTAATAATTACTTTCAATTAAGAAAAGGAAGGAGAACCGCCCACAGTGACCGCCGTGAGTTAGCCATGAAGCATCAGTCAAGTACCGAGGGCCTTCATAGCTAACTGCTAATAGAGCTGAAGGGTGTCGCGGGGAAAGCGACTATGACGGCAGCTCTGTTTCAAGCTTTTACCTTCAGAATTCCTGGCACTAAAACAATGACGCACTGAGTCAGCACCAGTCCCGGTTAAAGCTCTTTTTAATATTGTTGACCGCACGTCGTCTCACAGCAGTAATAATGGCGCACACCGGAAGTTAACTTGTTCTCTGTCTTTAAGGGGGCGGTTCGGTACTGCCCCCAGTGGTTGAATGGCTTACGACATACTTGAAATCTATTCATATATATTTTTTAGAAATTTATTGAGAGCATGACGTATACGGTATAGAAATAAAAAACAAACAATAAACAAATAGGCAACACTAAGGGTTACTATAAAGAGAACACAAATAAAAGAAAATTATGCAAAACATATATATAACAGAAAAAATATATGTAAATCAGAGGAAATTTGGAGCAAATATTTAACTTTTAAAATGTTTTATTGGAACAGGTGAATACTGTTTTCAAGTACAGTTCAATTTCCTTTCAAAAAATACAGAAAGAGGGTCTATTTTTTATCAGCTCACATTTATGAATATAAAATTTGCCTAAGATTATAATGGTTAGAGAGAAGAAAAAAAAAACATTGTCCAGTTCTCTCTCATAATTAGTCCAAACATAGGGTAAAGGCCTCATAAACATTGACCAAAACAAAATGACAGATGCCTGTCATTGTTTTCGAGAGTGTTTCACAAATGAATAGATTTCTCTGCAAACAGGTGCACAGAAATCCATTCACGTTAGTCCGTAATAGAGCTGTAATCTCTCAGTCGATTAGCCGATATATTTTGGTTCGACTTAAATTCTGATTAGCAAATCATGCTAACTTACCTCCCGATGGAATTAACATCGGGAGGAATAAACTGAAGACAAAACAAATCACACAGGAAGAAACATCGCTGCATGTTTCTATTTGTTCAGAGTAGACCTACATTATATACTTTAGTTCATTTTTGTTAAAAATTTGTCTAAATAACCTTTTCATTTTCATGTACATTTATTGATAGTATTATTTTTGGATTTGTTTTTTTTTTAGTTTATTTTTAGCCTAATGCGCAACTACTTATTTTTCAGTTACACATTTTATTTCGTTTCTGCCCTCGTTGTGATCTAGTTTGTTTGATCAATTGTTTTGTTTTTTTTAAAGTGGACTTCCATTTTGTGTTTAAGAGTAAAAATTAATAATGTAAGTTAATACAGTGGAACCCCTAGTTAGAGCCGTTCCACAGCAGCACTCGTATGTCGAGTCAGGCAAAGAATCACATCATTGTTATATGAAGTTGATTGGCTGCACTGATCTACATCCGTGGAGCTCAGAGTGAAGGATCACAGAGATTGATCAGAGTTGCTGTCAATCACAGAAACAACAACCCCTCATGTTACAAAATGTCAATACTTTATTTTCAACAATAGATATTCAGATGTCATCCTGCTCTGCCCGCTCTCTGGAGGAAATCCATCTGCTGACAATCACTTCCTGTTTTGAGAAACAAACAAAAAAAATTCAATACCTAATAACATCACTTCCTGTGGGTACGAGCACATCCCATGTGTACGTTAGTCTGTACCTGAACCTTCAGCCTGCTCAGACATTGTGGTGACTCCAGTTCAGCATCTGATAGGTTGGCTGGAAAGACAACGTAACAAAACAACAGCTCCTAAAAACACAAACACACACACACACAAAGATACAAGTCTTTGTATCAAGTGTCCAATCCAATTCAGAGCAGGATTGTGTGACGAGGGCCGATCATCTGTTACCTTAGAGACATTGGTAGTGATTCTGTTTAGAGCCGCAAGAGAACGCCACGTGAAGGGACGTGTCCCTGTTCCCTTGTACTCACTGTTCACAGGCTGCACCACCACAGAGTAACTGCAGGGAAAGGTGGGGGAAAAAAAAAAAGAATTGGTTGGACGGGTGTCAGAGTGTGTGTGGTCTCTTCCAGTGGTTTCACCCAACAACAATAGTGAAGAAACAAGCCAATAGAAACCCCCCACTTTTTAATGCTCGGCCAATAGAAAATTAGAACTCTTCCCCCAGGTTATGAGCTCTTAGGATGTTGAGAGATTGGGACATCAGCAACAGCGGCAAGAGTCTGTCCCAACCCCTGTGACTGGGCGCTACACATTGGCGTGCAGTACACAGGTTAGTTAAAAGGGGTTGCGACGTGTCTGTGTGTGTCTTACCTGGCATGGTAGAATGGTGGACCTTTTCTGTACAGCACTGCAAACACAAGTCATAATAATTCAGAAGACATCCAAGTATGTGTGTGTGTGTGTATGTGTTTATGTGTGTTTTCATGCGTGACATACTAAAATCAACGCCATACTTGGCCCCGCCTCCTCCTTTAGGGACCCACCCCTTGCAGCGAAAGTAATGGTAAGCCGCGTACGAACAGACAAAGTCAGGTCGCTGGGCTCGAAATGTTTTCCACAGCTGGAGGATCGAGAGTGGCTCCTGATCAATCACAAGCACAGCAGAGTGCTGACATCATTCAACAAAGTCACACTGAGAAGTGAAGACAGACACAAGGGACAGACGGGTACCTGGTTCAGACAGACAGACAGGCAGCCCAGCCCATAGACCAGGAAGAAGGCCTGAAAAGGAGAAGAGACGAAAGCTGAGACAACAGGTGACCTCTGATATCATCAAGGCTTGTTTAATCAATGTTAAAGGGACAGTTGAGCCTTTACAAAGTGCTGATTTGTTTTCCCACCTGCCATGTTTGAAGGATCTGAATCTCACCCTAAGACACCTCTGTGTATACTAATGCATTCATTGCTTCATTTTAAAATGACAGTAGTGACACCAACTGACCACACCAGGCAACAGTGGCTCAGCAGATCCCGTATACCTAAGCTTAAAAAAAAAAAAAAAAAAAAAATCACAATTTTTTGACCCACGGCACCAGTCCATGGGTCAATTGGTACCGGGCCGCACAGAAAGAATACAAAACCTACATTATTTATGTTTTATTTATTATCTAATTTTGGATGATGTTTTACTGGATTCTCTCCGCCGCATCTGTCCATGACTCACACTTAATACATGCCTCCATCGTATTTCTTACCTACATCCGCTACCTTCTTAAAGGTCTGCTCCAGTCAGGAACACATGCTACATTACCGCTATATTAAAACCCCAAACTAGCAAAACGAACAATAAAAACAAACGTCTTTGGAACGTTTCTTTGCGCAGGGTAAAAGAGCCTACTGTATGTCTTCAAAGAAAAAGAAAGCTGCATTTAACAGACAATCGCACCAAGCCCACACTGCATAATATGTGGTGCACGGCTCTCTAATGAGGCCTTTAAAACCACTTGGAGACTAAAGCTTCTGCATTAAAAGATAAGCGTGTTGTTAAGACACTGGTAATTTCATACGCGGTGGCATAACGACTATTATTGTATTTAGGAAATACCAGTTTTTATAACGGCCTATCATTGTATTTAGTTGTATTTATTCACCACACCTTAAAGGCCGGTCCGTGAAAAACATTTTCAAGACATTTAACCGGTCTGTGGCACAAAAAAGGTTGGGGGATCACTGAGCTGAAGTACCAACCAGACTTTTTACAGTCATGGTGCAGTTGGAGCAGACTTTTACAGACACGGTGCACGGTGGACCAGAATGGTACAGACAACACTATCTCCTCTAAGCACTTTTGAAACTGTCCCAAGCGGCAGGATCCAGTCGAGACACACAGATCGTTTTACCTCCTCCAGACTGAGCTGCAGATACTCTGTCACTGGGACTGGAATCCGCCTCAGCTCCCTGACCTGCACACGCACACAGAGAGACAACAATGTAACTGAGTCTGGATCAGATGTTAACAGCACTGGACCAGAACTCTGCAGTGTTCAGGCTGCAACAAGACTCACCTCCTCTTCAAAGACCACTAGGACAAAACCAGCACCAGAAACCACATGCTCTGAATCAGGATCACTATTGGCAGTGCGAGACACACGGTCATGGTCAAGTTCAGGGTCCAAGTCTCTATCCAGGTGTGAGCTTTGACTGGGGTTCAGAAGAAGATGTAAAATAGCCAACAGTTTTAGACCAACAACCCGTGAGGGGCTTCAAAAGGAATATGGCATGCTGGACATAAATGTACCACTGCTGTAATGCTTGAATGATAACAAGCCTCCAGTCACTAGGTGGCAGCAACTCATACAGTGGTTTGTACAGATAAAAATATACCTTATCAGGTTCTCAATAGTATTTCAATTCACGGGAATGTGGGTCAGGGGGAGGGACGTGAAAACATTTCTGTCCCCAAGGGGGGATTTGGGGGGGGGGTATGGGCATGACAGAAAATAATAGAGAACCACTGTGTAATAGTTAAATGTAAAAAGCAAATGGAGGTTTTTCATAAACCCTCTACCTGCAGCTTCTCTTGGCCTTTGGATTGACCTCTGACCTTGGCCTCTTGGTGAAGGGGCCGACTCCACCCTCTACTACTGGACACTCACCATCCACCTCCTTCTTCACATCCTCAATCTGCACAGGCCGAGACAGGTTGGTCATCATTTGACTGATGGCCTCATTGTCCCACCCCTGCGCAGACAGAAATGCTCGCGCCCATTGAAGCAACTCCCGGTAACTGGAGATAAACAGGTAAGTGATGTCATTCTAACAGGTTTCTTATCTTCAGACAAGCAGGTGTAGTTGTACGCTGACATGTTTCCACAGTGAACTCCTGTCTTCTTTAGAAGTGATGTCACTTTCTGATGTCACATCAGCCATTTTTGTCTTCCCAGCCTTCAGTATCCAGCATTGCTGTTTCCGATTGTCTGTGGGCATTAGTTTGGCTCTGACCCCATCTGTGATGAAAGTTCTGCCTTATTTAGATGTAACAGCTTTGGAATTCAGAATTCTCCTCTTCTGCCTTTTCTTATTGCCCTGTGTTTCCTTACAGATGTTTGTTTTCCATAATCCTATTATTCTTTCGTCATAAAAACATCTGAACGAAAGAGGTCACTCAGTGACACTGCCATGGGAGATCGGTGCTCACCATGGAAACATGACGGAGTCTAGGAATTACATTATCTGGATCAAGACAATATTGATCCACAGCAAGGAAATCCTGCCATTATTATGGATCCACAAATTGATGTGATCAAAGAACAGGATGCGATGTCACAGACCTGGACGATGAGATCACAGGGAAAAGCAAACCTTCATGATCTGAAACAGAAACAGTTGACATCAGCCGACCGCCCAGCGGGACCAGACCTTTGTTGTTTGGGTGTTGTGAGTGTAGGTGTAAACTCACACTCCCATTGGTCAGAGATGCTGTGGTCTGGTCTGGCTTTGGACAGGATGCCTTTCCCAAAATATCCCTGAAGAAGGATGAAACCTTGGGTGATGTGGATGGTAGATTTGGTTTATAAAAACCTAGAGTAATTTTAGGATTATGTCTGGATTTCTTTTAGGCTGATGTCAATTAGCTCAGACCTGGTAAAATCCAGTGCTATCCTCTGTAAATTAGATTACATTACATTATCTAAGATCAAGTTAGCTGTTAGTTAGATATTACTGCATTTGGATTTACTGAGACGTCTGCAATCGTTCAGACTCGGACCTGAGAGTAGATCTTCTGGATGTCTTCGGGCCGACAGACCAACACATGTTGGTTGATGAGCTCTGCCCGCAGCTGCGCTCTCTTCCGGGAGCTGTGGCTCACCGGCAGCGAAGCCTCAAAATCCTCCTGCACTCGATTCCTTCGCCTCGGTGCTCGAAATTCCGCCTGCATTTCTGGATTAATCCTGGACCAGGACCATAACTCCCTTAAGAAAGCTACACCTTTATTCACTTAGTTTTTTTGGTTTTTTTTACAAAGTCACGCGTAGTCCTGTTTTAGTCAAACACGGACATATTTTGCTGTCGAACGCCGCGGTGTCACAGAATAAATGCCCGTGTGAAACTGTGATTTACGCCTAATTCAACTGGAAAAGAAATACATCAATAAATGTTGAACAAATATTTTCAAACGGAACAACAGAACAATAACCCCATCCAAACGACAATAGATCTATTTAAACTCTGGAACACATTTCAATAATTTATAGTACTTTAATAAGCTGTAGCTCTTTTTTTTCGAGATTCGAGTGCATATGAAATATCCATCTAATTGAACAGAAAAATTGAAAACTATATTAAGTTGTGTTTTTTTTTTTTTTGCAGAGGCTCTGCAATGTATATGTGGATACACACACGTATTAGTGATGTTACACATATATGTTTTAGGATTAATATCGGCCGACTGATATTATTGGCCCAATTTTAGCATAATTATTTAATATCTGTACGAATCGTTATTGGTTTTTCCTCCGATAATAAAAACCAGATAACGCAATGCCTTGGTTTCATCAAATGACGTATACCCAAAAAACAGTAAATAGTAAATAAATAATACCAGGCTTATACTGTATCAGTTCATTGATAATGGAATTAGAAGTTAAGTGTTTTGATATAATTTTGGTTGATATTGGACAACCCTAATATGTATATATATATATATATATAAAGCAACAATGTTACAGACATTAGTCCCATTAATCCCTAGATAGGACTAATGTCTGTAACTTTGTTGGTTATTTCCTCTGAACTGTCCTCCTGTCCTTCCTCATGTCTGTCCACCACATAATACTGCTCTTTCTGGACTTGCTGGTAGAGCGTAGTGAACTTGGAGACCCTCCTCATCCTGGGGAGGATGAAGTTGTAGGTGAAGGTGTCTTTACTCAGAGAGCTGTGCCCCTCTGCTGACAGGACAGTGTTGACGAAGTTCAGACAGAAACTGAAGCAGTTATGGTCGTCCTCATGGAAACTGGATGAAGAGACAAATATTGGATCAGAGGCCAGTTAGTGGACCAATACCGATGACACCTGCAGTACTGTATGTCTGAGTTGACTTTCACCACCTGACAATGTTCTCGGTGGATGTGTGTGTGTCTGGGCCTGTACTGTGACTGTACCTGTGCCATACAGGGTCCCACATGGGTCCATCCGAGAACCTGTCCAGGTAGTTGTCCCACTGGTCCAACAGGTGGAACATGTCAGGACGAACCAGAGGAATACTGACACTGTGCTCCCACCCGCTCTGGTCTTTGTGAACCCCAGTCTGTGTGTAGTTGTACACAACACCTGTACAAACACCTATTAGAGTCAAACCCAGGCTCTGCACATATCATTTACCTAGAACTCCAGAACTTTTAACCCTACCTTTAGTGTTGGAGATGCCAGTGTGAAGGTCTGATGTTCCAGTGAAGTCCCTGAGAACCAAACATCAGACTGTTTAAACTTGCGTACAGGTGATGACGTCAGCTGACTGTTGCAGTGCTCTGGTTTAGACCGATGCTCTGTTAGATCAGCCGTAGAGCACTGTGGTTGTCTCTATAGGTTAACGGTGTTCCTTTTTTCAGTAACAGGCAATTAACTAATTACTTTATCTATCGTTATAATGCCGTTACTGCACGTTACTGAGGCTACTTATTGAAGCTGTCATCCGACTTGGACTCACAGACACGGGAGCTGCAAACGTGTGTTTATTCATTTATACACACAAACTTTCAGAGATTGCGAGTCTGGAGTCAAAGGGGAAGACGACGTTTTCAAAGTGGAAATACAAGCACTACCTCGTTGAGGTAAAAGGTAAAAATGTACATGTTCCGTGGACATTATGTCCCAGAGCAAGTTTGTCCACGTCTGGTGTAAGCAACTGTCTGTGTTGTCCCTCTAATGACCTCTTCTATCACAGATCACTCCTGACACTTTTCTCCAGCTGTTCCATCCTGCCTGTACTCTATTCGTCACCTCTCTTCCACAGTCTCCTCTGCTCTGAACAGTTGATCCTAAGTACCTAAACTCCTGCACCTTCACCACCTCTGCTCCTTGTAGCCTCACTATTTCACTGTTCT